GAATAACGATTTCATATCATGCCAAGACTCTTTTCACGAGTAATGAGATAATTAGGTTAAAAACCGAAAAATGCTCGAGTATTATTTAATTATGAATAATTGCATAGATTTAACAAGACTGCAACATTAATTTCATTTAACAGCATCTTGTTAAAGTGAAAGTGTTTAATATTTATCTATATTTGGCACTCTTATTTCAACAAGACAATGATGTCGTTTCTCTAAACTTAAAACTAAATTTAACAACAGTCTCTGCTAAATGAAACAAGTTTCAACGGTATAGACGCACTCGCATCCTCTCTCCTTTTCTATCTGTATAGAGAATGACAAGGACACACTGTTGTCAAAATTAAGTTTAGGTTTAGAGAAACGCGCCAGAATCGACACCAATGACGACTTATTTTAATAAAGGACACGACAATGATTTGCGTACAAGGTCGATAAAATCGATCGACCTCATAAATAATGTAAATTAATGATATGTGTAATAACATGCTTATCAAACTTAATTGAAATGTAATTTTAAAGCTTTTTTTACTAGACCACACAACTTTATTTTAACGGATATCGAGGCTTGCCTAGTCTATGGAGAAGATCTTACGTGCAGTTTTTGGTACGAAAAGCGATGGCTGGTTTATACGTCATGCTCGTGAACGGGTGCTAGGAGAGAGAGTTAGGTGATCATTATATATTTCGAAAATACGAATAAACATCAAGTACTTATCACACTTATATCATAAATGCGAAAGTTTGTGAGTGTGTCTGTTTGTTACTTCTTCACGTCTAAACGGCTGGAGCGATTTTAATAAAATTTGGTATGAAGTTAGCTGACACTCTGGATTAACGTAGGCTACGTTTTACTGCGAGAAAATATCCTCAATAAACGTCGGGTAACACCGCGGGTCACAACTAGTTAATGATAAGTGTAATAACGTGCTTAGCAAAATATACTTAAAGTGTAATCTTAAATCTATTAAACCACAAAACTTTATTTTAACGGATAACGAAGCTGGCCTAGTCTATGGAAAATCTATATAAATATATATATATATATATATATACTAGCTGACCCAGCGAACTTCGTACCGCGGTAAAAATAGGGGCTGGTGGTAGAAGAGAAAATTTAGGGTTGTATGTATTTTTTAATACCACATTATAAAAAAATAAATATGGTCCAAAAAATTTTAGGGGTGTGTAACGTAGAGTTCTAACAATTTCCTGGGATAACATTCCTTCTAACCCATATGAGAACACTGCGTTACAATACACAATAGTTTGAATTTTGGCGCGAAGACGCATTGTAGGTTTCAGAACACTACATTACATTACAGCAGCCGATTCTCAGACCCACGGAATATGCATATAAAATTTCATAAAAATCGGTCAAACCGTTTCGGAGGAGTATGGTTACTAACATTGTGACACGAGAATCTTTATATATATAATTCTTCTGTGAGTGTGTATGTCACTGAACTTCTCTTAAACGACTGGACCGATTTTGATGAAATTTTTTGTGTGTGTTCAAGGGGATCTGAGAATGGTTTAGATTCACAATTTTGTCCGCTGGACAACCCCTATTTTTTTAGGGCGGTACGAAGTTCGCTGGGTCAGCTAGTTTTATATATAAGATAGATCTTACGTGTACTTTTTGGTACGAAAAGCGATGGCTGGTTTATACGTCATGCTTGTGAACGGGTGCTAGGAGAGAGTAGCAATTTCGAAGAAGAGACAAGAAATATGAATAAACATCAAATACTTATTTATTATTGTTAAAATTAATCGGAATAATATCATTACAATTTATCAGGTAAGTACATTTATTTTTTACTTATACTACTTATTTCCTGTGTGCCATAACGACCGTAGCAATTCACGTACCGATAGGAAAAACTGGAGTAACTCATAAATTTGCCACGGATATAAAATTCCGTAACAACTTCGAACCTTATAATAACTCGCGTTGTATAATATCTACGCAACTTGAAACTTTATGAATAAAATCGTAAAATAAAATACCACTCGAAAAAACCTAGGCAAGATATTCGCACATGAAAGGTTCCGTTGCATCTAGGGTTACCATATCTCAGGATTTGTTCTGAGATTTCAGGATTTTTGGACTCTTCTCAGGATTGCGGCTGGATTTGGCAAATTTCATGAAATCTCAGGATTTTTCGAATTTTCAATAAAATACTGCTGACGTTTTAAAGATCTCTTTAGTAAAAAGTTAATCAAACTAAAAATAACCTTCTATTAATAATTTTTGTTGAGGATCTCGATGGCGCAGGTGGTTAGTGCGTTCGGCTGCGATCGTTGTAAAGCAACTTTCGCAGTGGTCGGTCATTGGATGGGTGACCAAAAATTTCTATCTCGAGTTCCTCCGTGCTTCGGAAGGCACGTTAAGCCGTTGGTCCCGGTTGCATCTGCAGTCGTTAGCACCCGCCAATCCGCACTGGGCCCGCGTGGTGGGTCTTGGCCCAATCTCCCTATTCCATCCATAGGAAAGGCCTATGCCCCAGCAGTGGGGACATTAAGAAGCTGATGATGATGAATAATTTTTGTAGAATGAAAATCTTATATATATGTATATCTTAAATCAACACCGCTGCCACCCCCGCGCTTCGAGTGCGATTTGTAACGCTTGAGCGATGTCCGCAGTGTATATAAACGATAATATTACGATTTTTTTTAATTGTTAAGTACATTTGAAAGAAAATTCTCAATATGTAAAAAATCTCAGGATTTTTCAGTGGAAGTCAAGCCTTTTCTCCGGACTTTTGATTTTTTTATCTTGTAACCCTAGTTGCAACGAGTAAGATTATTCAATTTCAAATTCTTTATTTCAAAAATTATTTATATTATTTAGATTAAGCGATTGAAAATCAGCATTTTTAAGGGCGAAAGCAATTTAGTTAGTCTGAGCTTTTTGTTTGCGGAGTGGAAGTGTTCTTCCATATTTCTATTTTTTATCAGTTGTTAAATTCCTTGTCTTCTTATTATGGTTTCTGGAATAAACACAGTCGTCCAGAGGCGCAAGCACAAATTCTGACAGCTTCGTAACTTATCACCTTATCATCATCGTGAAATATTGTTTAAAAAAAGCTAGTTTTTTTTTCTAAATGGCTTCGCACGTTTTGTGCATTTAGCCAATGTCAAGTGTTAAAATGTTTACAAATACTAAAGCACTCGTGATCAAAGTAATAAATCACGTCAAAGTAAGTGGCAATCAAGTCAATTCCCCTTTCCCTATGTTTCAGTAATAGTGTGGGGATTTACTGGAACCTCCCCGTGGACTTCTTGAGGGAACGTCGAAAGACACTTTCCGCTATTTTGTTTCACTTACCAACACTTGTGCATGTTCCCGAACACTCAGTGGTTAATAATCCACCATTATTAGACACTAACATCCGCCACCACACAATTTTTAACAAGAAAAACAAAACTGCTAAAGTGACGCTTGCGGATCCCGCCAGAAAGTTCAAAAAAAAAGCTAGTTTGTTCTTACATCCAATAAGATAGCGATATATATATCTTAGCGGTTGCACTGTTCTGTTTTCATCGAAACTAAGACGATGCGATACGTTACCGAGCTGTCAAAATTTCGCGCTTGGGCCTCAGTACCCCTAGCACGAACCATTATCGAATTCGAATAGTTTGCAAACCGAAATGTCAATGTCAAATTTTATATGGAAACTTGAACAGCAGCGGCACAAAGTACGTAACGAGAACTAAAAATCAGTACACATTTGACAATGACATTGCGGACTCGCAAACGATACGAATTCGATATTGATATATTCGTACTAGGGGTACAGTTCATCGTTTCCTTGTTACACTTTGTGCACGGAACCCTATAGAACATGTGTCAATGTGTCAATATACAAGAGCATAAGGTCGAATTTTATGAAACATTTTATATCTTGTACGAAATAGGATGTCATTGAATTGCTAAGATCCCGGAAATGCAAAAGAACAATACCACAAACAGCCAAACTGAAAAGAACACAAAACAATTCCGACTAAATTTAATGGTTAACTCTTCTAATCTAAAAAAAAGCCGGCTAAGTTCGAGTCAGACTTAAGCACGAAGGATTCTGCACCATTAAGTATACTACATTAGGCACTGCTTTTAATTTATAATATCGAACAAAAAACGCCAATAACCCTAATTTATATATTTAATTCCGTTTTTAAATTTTGTTCTTATAGCGGCAATATAATGTCTTATCGTTTTAAAAGGTAACTGCACTCCCGGACGCATTTTTTGGCTCATTTAGTGTTATTAAGTTTCAACGGTCTGTAGCAAAAATATAACTGTATTAAAAAAAAAGGCTGAGATATAGTAACATATTTTTAAAAATACAATACAAAGATGGTTAATAAATCAGCTTTAAAACTGCGTAAAAACTTTTTGCTCAATGTATCATTTAGTTATAGCTACAGACCGTCAAACCATATAGGCCAAAACTCAAAATGCTAGGTAGGCCAATCGATGTGTCCGGGATTTGTTTCATAACAGGCAAAAAAAGAGCGTTTTTGGCATAGATTTGACTTGTAAACAGTACTTATTTAAAAAAAACATAGGTGATCTAGAATTCTGGTGCAAAATATTTAGAAACTATTCGTAGAATTATTACAGAAAACATTCTTTCTCGGCTTTGTATTACCGTAACAAATACAAAATTTTAATTTTAGTAATATAAAATAAAAGTTTCAGTATTCCTCTCAATCAAAAAAGTCATCCCAGCGAGCAATAAAAAAAATGTTTTGAAATGAAATTTCCTTAATCATAATTTCATTTAAAAATTACAAAGATTTAAAAGCCAACTTAAGTAGAACTCGTAATTTTTTCCGATAATTCCCGCGCTCGATACTAGATCAGCAGCGTCTTTAATCAAACATCCTTTTCCTTCCATATTAAAAAAAAAGTTAAATGGAGCGCGCAATTTTTTGTCACAGATAAAAATTAAGGCGCAGTAACATAAAAAAAAGTATTTACTAACCTTATGAGCGCTCCTCGTTAGGCCTAAGATGATGTTTTGTAACCGAACTTGCACCCTGTTAAGTATCAAAAGGTTAAGTTACGTAAACACACGTATGTCAAGTTGTATGGGCAAGCGTAAACTGAGGTAACCGGCACGTTGATTGCCTTTCTGATCAACGGTGCTACTAAGTGTTAGCAGTCACTTATTTCTCGCTTTGCGGCACTTCCACCTTTTCTAATGCTGCGTGCCAGAAAGAGAGGGGACACATCGAGACCTGTGCGAGATGAGTGGCGTGGTAAATCCGCAGATCGCATACCATTATGTTGTTGTGACCATGTTTTTGTAATACTTTTATGGGAGTAAATAAAGATAATTTAGTAAAACAAATTTTGATCGGGTCAAAAGCGCGATTTTTTCAGTATTTCTATTATTCCTGGGTTCTCGGATCCTTTACAGGCTTCGTGCTAGTACGACACAAAAAGACACAAGACAAGAGAAGGAAGTAACCCCCTCCTCAGTCTTACAGAAGAAATAAAATAACTCTATCTTTTAGTAGTCTAAGGCCCGTATTATAGAGAGATTCTCAGTAATTAATCTAGTTTTGAGCATAGATAGAAAGGGATGTCGCTATATATAGCACATAGCGACATCCTTTTCTATCTGTACTCAAGTAAAGATCAACACTTAGTTGTCATTCTGTAATACGGGCCTAAGGCTCGTTAGAAAGGAATGTCGCTATGTACTATATATAGCGACATCCCTTTCTAACTATGGTCAAGACTAGATCAATCACTGAGAATCTTTCTATAATACGGGCCTTAGTGTTGTATTTCTGTGATGTTGTTGAATAAGGTTTCAGGGCTCCACTGGAAAGGAGATTATGTTAAGGCTGGCATGGTGAGAATAGATGCAGGGGCTCACTCAGATATCTTCACTTCGGCCGATGCTGGTAGTTATTTCATCTCTGAGGCCGACCTCTACCCCGATCGTAATAACTCTTGTCGTTTTTTCAAAAGTAGAATTAGAAGCTGGATGCTACTGAACAATCATAATAATGGTATGATTTGCTCGCTCACGTGTTTCCTCCTATAACCCGGGGTCTTTTAAAAGGCACGTGAAGAAGCACAGTGCAGGGCTGCAAGGTCAGGCCGTCCTTCTAGACTCTACCGTTACTTAACATCAGGTGGGTGGGATGAAGTCATTTGTCCAGTATACGCTAGTGTGTTACTTGCACCTTTGCCGCCAATGATCCCATCATCTGCCTCGTGGAGCCCGGGAACCTTACCCACTGACAGAAACACAACACCACCAAAAGATAGTGTTATATTATTATGGTCTTCTGAAAGACGGAGTTTAGTTCCCGGGTTTCCCCAATTCCAGCGGAAAATACAACAACACTGGAAGATATTTAGGTAAAAGCTGAAATAAAATATTTAGGTTGTTATTTCAGTACCACATGTACAACCTTCAACCTTAGGTCATGCTCCTTTAGTGTGAACGCCCTTCCAGAGTCAAGTGTTAACAGCTTTATGGAAGTTTAATTTTTAACTAGTTAAATGCTGTAATTATCTTCAAAGCTTTTTAAACCGACAGACGTAGCATCTATTTCGGCTCCTTAACTATCTAATCAATAAACACGTAAGTAATGAGGGTTTTCTGTAATGGGGCACCAGCGGTGCTATTCTGTAAAATTTTCACAGATGTGGCTGAAAATTCCGCTGACACACATCGGAAATAAAAACATATATATAAAAAGTAAGCAGCACAAACATTAATAAACCTAACAAAGTTATAATATTGGTCAATTATGACTCCGCCTCAGCATAATACTGCCGTGACATGTAACTAAACGTGTCACGGCAATGCTGCTATACAACTGAAGCACTTGTGTCATACAATAAATAATAACATACTTAAAAAATACAAAACCTAAGCTTTCATTAATTTAGAATTCATGCTTTCGCTGATTGAACACACTCATATTCATTCACTCACACACGCTCACATAACCACACACACACACATAACCACCCACATACACACACACACTCCCAAACACACACACATACATACATCAGACCCACCCATTTATGTTTAGGTTTTTTTTTGTTGCAATTTATAATTACAGTTTCAGTTCTTGTCTTATTAGCAGCATTATAAATATTATTTTAAAATATAAGCTATATTACTAAACGTTCGGATTCGATGAGTGGAACCTGGAGGCCAATTATGCTCGATAATTGTGATATTGTTTTGATGTCTATTTCACATTATTACGCGTATTACGTTCAACTTTTTGACTTAAAATAGTATCGCATAAACGTCAAAAATGTGATACAGGATATGATATTGATATGATCTTGATGTGACATAGAAATGTTTCATAATACCATATAAAAACAATGTCAACTTGGCATCAACATCATATTGACATCACATTAGAATTTTATTACTGAAGCATAATTGACCCACTGGTGACCTGTAACATGTAACACAGGTATTGTATTATACCTATTTCAGGCATCAGACTCTCACATCTTATGTAAGATTATTTCCACTTTATATAGCGTCCCATCATAATATGTAAGTTGTGAAGAGTTATAAAACATAATGTTATTTGACTTGACGACCTCCGTTTCCGAGTGGTTTGTACGCCCGGTTTCATGGCGTCGCCGACTCGAGAAATCGCGGGTTCGAATGCCGGTGGGGGCAGATGTTTGTGTGATGAACACGAGTATTTGTACTCCAGTCATGGACGTTTAATATGTATTTCTATATAAATATACTTATATATGTATCAGTATATGTATTATATCCGTTACCCTAGTATCCCATAACACAAGCCTTATAGTGCTTACTTTATGGCTAGGCTAATTGGTGTGAGTGTTGGAAATATTTATTTATTTGTTATTCTGACAGGGACACATAAAAAATTGAAAGCTAAAATTTATTCAACACATTTCTACGTAGGACTGTCCCGTTTAGCTGTAAGTTCATGGTGACTATCCCGCGATTCGGTCATCGAATGAGTGGGTAAGGTAGCGTGATTGTCGGTCCGTCAGCGGCGCTGGGGCCGCTGCGCTGCACAGGGCCTATCGCAGAGGTCATAGTAGTATACCGGCCCGTAAAACCATATTGGACTATATCAGGCACACTATCTCGACAAAAGTGTTACGTAGTAAGTAAAAAAAAAACGACGGGTTGCACTCCGGGAGTGCCATGAAAAGTAGTTTTCATACACATATGTAGTTGCAGTTACCTATTTTGTCATAGAAGATTGAAAGGGTGATAAAATGTAGAGAATCCACCTCGGGAGCAACATTTTTCTCTCTCTCTCGCCAACTCTCGCCTTTAAAATAGTACTTTGCTCCCTTACTACTTTTACAAAAATAAAACCGACTTTATAAAAGAAACGACGGGTTGCACTCCGGGAGTGCTGGCAGAAGTGAAAACTTGAATATTAACGTTGTGCATTTTTGATATTTTGGAATGGTTAAGAAATAATTTTGCACGAATTGCTTTAATTATCAGTATAAAAGTACTATCATGTATGTGGTAGAATACAATATTTATTTATTGCGCTATCGTACACAAGCATGACAATTTATATTACATTAAAAAAGTTTATCTCTCAGAAAAATCAACTTACATGAAACACGTTTAAGCGCGATTACAAAACACAAGACTTCAACGTAAAATACTTACATCATGTGATTGTGTTTTTAGGTCTTTTTCCATGTCAACTTAAGTTGTGAAAATACTTTTATCAGCAAAATAAAAATATACGAATTTATAATAATAATAAATTTATTTATTATTAACTGAATGTTTCCTTGCATTACCTATGTAAATAGTATTTAATATTTACTTTTGCCAAACGTGACCTTAAAAAGTATCCTTTTTATGGTTTGTTTACATTTTGTCTCACGCCAATGTGAATAGACGTTAGCTGTCCCAGCGAACTTCGTACCGCCATAAAAGAGGTTGGCGGTAAAACGGTGAAAATTTAGGGTTGTATGTATTTTTGTATGATGTATCATAAAAAAATAAAAACAAAACAAATTGTCAAATAAAAATATGGGTGGACTTATACCCTTAACATTTAGGGGGATGAAAAATAGAAGTTTGTCCGATTCTCAAACCTACTAGAAAATCGGTCGAGCCGTTTCGGAGTAGTTCAATTACGCACACCGTGACACGAGAATTTTATATATTAGATAATACATACCTTTGTAGTAAGAATAAAAATAGCAAATTAATTAAAATACAAAATCTGTATTAATGAAAACAGATCAAGTGCCTGAGCCACGCGCAATGTAGGGTCCCGTAGTTGCAAAAAAATACATTAAAGCTTAATATTTTGCAAAAGGATCTCTTATTCGAAAAAATGATTTTCCAAACCAAAAATATTTTCAATGACTTATACAACTGTACCCCTAGCACGAACCAATATCGAATTCGTATCGTTTGCGAGTCCGAAATATCATTGTCAAATATGTACTGATTTTTAGTTCTCGTTACATACTTTGGGCCGCTGCTGTTCAAGTTTCCATACAAAATTTGACATTGACATTTCAGTTTGCAAACTATTCGAATTCGATAATGGTTCGTGCTAGGAGTACTGTACCTTTACCATTCTGATTACTATGGTCGTTCCAGAGGGTTTGTTGCATGGCGCTTTTCTTTTCACTGTATCTTTTCGAACTATTTTAATTAAGTATCTTTTCATATACTTACTTACTAAGAAAAAGTTCATCATCATTCTTACTTAGCTCACGCGAAAAATATACATAAGTAAGCCAAGTATATTTAAGTATTATGAGAATTCCATCCTTTGGAAAAATGCAAGAAAGGTGATATCTTTTTCAGAAAATGCGTTTTTGACCTATTTCCAAGATTGTCTTTTTGTTATTTTATTTTACTAAATGAACGTAGTTTTCATACATATATGTAGTTGCAGTTACCCATTTTGTCACAGAAGATTGATAGAGGGTGATAAAATGTAGAGAATCCACCTCGGGAGCAACACAATTTTTTAAAGCTAGCTCTACGTACAAGAGGTCTTACTACTCTCGCCTTTAAAATAGTACTTTGCTCCCTTACTATTTCTACAAAAATAAAACCGACTTTATAAAAAAAACGACGCGTTGCACTCCGGGAGTGCCGGCAGAAGTGAAAACTTGAATATTAACGTTGTGCATTTTTGATATTTTGGAATGGTTAAGAAATAATTTTGCACGAATTGCTTTAATTATCAGTATAAAAGTACTATCGTGTATGTGGTAGAATACAATATTTCTTTATTGCGCTATCGTACACAAACATGACAATTTATATTACATTAAAAAAGTTTATCTCTCAGAAAAATCAACTTACATGAATCACGTTTTAAGCGCACTTAGCGACATCTTTTGTAAAGAAATCAACCTACATGAATCACATTTAAGCGCACCTAGCGACATCTATTGTAAAAAAAATGCATTTTCTTCGCAATAAAGCTGCCACGACGTAGACGTCCTAGATAGAGTTCTTATTATAATACGATAAAATAAAATATTACTATGTTTCGTCCAATATATTTAAAATCAACAACCTTTCCAATTTTATTGTGTGTCATGATGCGATCAGCCCACGTGTTTAACCTGACGCGAGTTTAACATTTTTTGCCCATACAAAAAAAAAGTGTACAACGCCGCTAAAGAAGTTTTCACTTCAAAAATCACTAGAAACGAACGTGACAAACGTAAATTGCTTGGAAATCAAATAAAAGCAAACGTGTCCCTACTCGTGGCACATTCATTATTGATTAACTCCGGAGGCCCTTTATGGTCTTGTCGTGTTCTATAAGTTCTGTAAATTTGGACGGTGGTGGTGGATGATGTCCAATACATTTTAATGTAATGTGTGAAGAACAAAAGAGAAAGAGAGCTATTCCTACAAAAAGATCGACTTAACTTTGGGAATATAGATTCCTCTGTGGAAATATTAGCACTACCAAACTCAAACGCAGCAAAGTCGATGCTTGATATAGTTTTCGCTAGTGAGAACAGCTCGCCCTCTCCAATGTTTCAAATTAAATTAGTTGTGTATGTTTTGGTTAGGGTACGATGAGGCTGGCATATTAGTAGAATGAAAGCTTCTAAATAAATAAAGAACAAAAAAAAAGAGAAAATTTGCTTATCCATCGATGCTTTTCAGAACAAGTATCTTAGTGACGTCGTAATAAAGCAGTAGTAGATTACTAAATGGCTCTATGATTATCACTTGCCATCTGTCAACAGCAGGTAGCGAATAGGCCTACAGTTACTAACTGCAAAGAAAATCGAATTCATAAAAAGTAGATACACCTAATTGCGAAATATGGCAACAAATTGAGGACGTGCATCATCTTTTGATGGAATATGAGCGAAATCAGGTCGAAAGAGACATATTTATAACAAAATTTCAAATAAATAAGTTGGATATATGGATTATTCAGAGTGTTCTCGGCAACCCCGAATTCGAAGCCTCGTACTTGTGTAGTTTAGTGGAATGCTACCAGTAAATTACACAAGTACGAAATCTAATGTAATAATTTTTGTTTCGGTGGAGCTGTCACGTCATCGGACAAAAGCTCCTAAACAAAAAAGAAAAAAAAACGAAATTATAGATTTGGCTATAATTTTTTAAGAATTCGGTCGAAAGTAGTTTTTCCAGGATTCCACAATTAGATAGGTAGGCCCATTCGCTTACTGCTTTTGACAGATGAAAGTAATAATCACCAATCAAATATATTTAGTGATCCACTACTTCTTTACTATAACGCCACGAAGATACTTGTTTAGAAAAGCATCGATGGATATGCAATTTTCTCTATAGTTACACAAACAAATGTTAGAAAAGTTTGCGAATAGGCCGGCTGATGATGACTGTGGGACAACCGGAAAAATATATTAGACTTACCTACAATTAAAATTAGTTTAAACAAAAGAAAATGACTTTCCGAATTTACCCAGGCGTCTTGGAGTAATCGAGGAAAATTAATTAATCAAAGATTGCGAGGAATTGAGTATCTCCTCCTTTTATTAACTCGGTTATACACAAAGCATTTCATGTCCGATCAACGGTGCTACTTGTTCAAGACGCGAGTGTGGCCTTGTGTGAAATATTGCTCACACCTCTGGAATTACTCTGCCAATTACTTGTTTACTTAATGCTTTGGATAGGTCACAGCGATGCGCGATTTGCCTTAATTAATCCTTAATCCTTAGCGATGTGGATGTGACTAACAACCTCGAGCCTCTCCGTAAAAATAACGCCTACAGAGTATGAGTTTTTGACAGCTCCGTAACGTATCGCATCGTCAAAGTTTCTATGAAAACTAATCAGTAGCAGCGGAGCCCATATCGGACGTAAGAACAAACTAGCTTTTTCCATATAATGTGACGATTACGTTACCTACTTTACGGAGCTGTCAAAAACTCGTGTTTGGGCCTCAGGTAAATAATGTACACTTAGCCACTAAAATAACTATAACTAAACTAATAAATAACTATAACTTCTTTACCAAAAACTCGTTTGTATTTGTAGTGTAGCGTCTGTATGTTTTTGCAACATGTTCTACGCAACTGAAGAATTAGTGGAATCTTTAAAATAAACGCTATTCCGGTCAATTGGACGGGAGAACTTCATTGTAGTGTTGACTACCTCACAGAAGCTTATTGAAAAAGCCAACTCGATGCATTTCGTGCCAAACACTCCAAGAAACATTAGAATGGGTGACGCCGACATTTTAATGTAAAAAAAAAGATTTATAAAACTTAACTTAATGTGAGGAGCTCGATGGCGCAGGTGGCTAGCGCGTTTGGCTGCGATCGTTGAAGTTAAGCAACTTTCGCAGTGGTCGGTCATTGGATGGGTGACCAAAAATTTACTATCTCGAGCTCCTCCGTGCTTCGGAAGGCACGTTAAGCCGTTGGTCCCGGCTGCATTTGCAGTCGTGAGCACCCACCAATCCGCACTGGGCCCGCGTGGTGGGTCATGGCCCAATCTCCCTATTCCATCCATAGGGAAGGCCTGTGCCCCAGCAGTGGGGACATTAATAGGCTGATGATGTGATGATGATGAACTTAATGTATGGGCATTGTTTCCTTTGCCTTCCCTAAAAGGAAAAATCTTAAAAAAACCCGCTGTCGAACTGACATTGACAATTTTGACATAAGCCAAAAGCCGCAACTTGTGCTGTGCTACGCCATTTATTTTCGCAATTTTATCCGTCGATTAAAACGTTTATCGCTTATTCGTGTAAAAATGTAGAATATATACTTGATTCTTCTTTATTTAGTGGAAAACGCATTGTAGTGACGCTGTACCTTACTGAAAATAAGCAAATACTATGACATTCCATTATTCAGTATTCGTCTACTTATTTATTTTGTTTACAAAATGTGTTTTTGCAAATGTGTGTAAATTTGATGTGAAATTGACCCAAACACTTCATAACGAAGGATTTCATAGGTATGTTTCATACACAACATGCTTTAAATAACTTAGCACCACATATCGCTTGCAAGGGTTTGAATCTAGAGTTGCTATCGTGTTTTTCGAACCCTATTATTTTTCTTTGTCAACTGTAGTTTTATAACCCAGTTAATGATATTGATAGTGTTGTTCAACCTAAAACGAAGTTATTAGTTAAGTTAGTAGCGAAATATAGCGTTGAAGTATTCTCAGAAACACTTTATAATGTTTTATAACAATGTATGCGTTTGTAATTAATTATTAAAATAAATATACAGTGTAAACTCTATATAACGACACTAAAGGGACTGTACATTTTATGGCGTTAAAGAGAGTGGTTGTTAAATGGAAAGAAGAAAAATCAGAATTATGAAAAGAAAAAGTTTATTTGATGCTAGTAGTTATGTATGTACATAAAAAAATATCTTATTTGAACGCTATTGCGTATATTCTGTTATTTTTGTCTGACGTCTTTTTCTGCACCAGTAATTTTGTTGTATTATATTTTTTTTTAGTCATGGTCAACAACAGTCTACAAGTGCAATCCCAATTTGTAAACAAAAGAAAGAATTTCTTAGAAAGCAACCAAAGACGAGTGATTTCGACGCTTTAGGGAGTTTGTCGTTAAATCGAGTGAGGTTACATGGAGTTTACACTGTAGTTCTTACCCATAGAGTAAACAGTAGCACACTCATTTTATAAAATCCAACCAACCACTTTAATAACACTAATGTCTTGCAAGAGAATTTCATCATATAAAATAAAAGTAACTCTATTTAAAGGACATTTAACCATCGTGGAATAAGTAAGAGTCACTAATACAATTTTTTTCTTTATAATTGGTTATTGTTATCCAGAAACATCACATATGGTGTAGTGTTTAATGAAGAAGATGAATCCGAAGATTGGATTAACCGAGACTGCATCATAGCTTTGGATCAGAAATTACCACCAGGAGTGTATGTCAACCCTGATGAACTGGGGGAACTCAGGAGAACTAATAAAGTAAATATAATTATAGTAAAGTATATTTTTTTTAAATATTGTTAGGTATTATTTAATACTGTAAAGTTTTTTTCACCAGTTTTTCTCAATAGCTAAAAAATGTCCTCAACTGGTGGTAAGAAAAAACATAATGAACAATTCAAAAAAGTTATATTGTGCATGTAATTTGAATAGAGATTTTTTGACTTTTGAATAAGATTTCTTCATTAATCAATTCTTAATAGTGCTGCCTTTGTTTTTTATTCTACTATTGGCGTAGCCCATTAAGCTTTTGACAGATAGGTACTTGAAATGGTGCAACTAATATTTTGGCCCATATATATTCAGCCTCTCAGTAACGGTGCTGCTGTTTGCCAGAATGTAAACATCACTTAATCTCAAAATCATAAGGTCTTAAGATACTAAAAGAAAAGATGTCTCTCATTGATGGGGAAAAATTTTTAAAAGCTATACAAAAGAGCTATTGTAGGCTGTCCTGTTATAATTTAAATTCCATAAAAAACAATTTCATGCTTTTAATTTCAGCTTAATGCTTTACCAAAGAACAGAGTCAATGTTGAGCTGCCAACAGAGCAGTCTGATGATAGCAGCGTGTACATCATTGGCATGGTGTCCGAGAGCAAGGTGTACCTTTGGATTCCCATCCATGCCAGATACCATAAAGCAGTCGCGGGGGGAGGGTAAGAACTATAATTATTATTGTATACAGTTATATCATGATTTAAAATTCAATTATTACCGATTTGTCACACAACTTCTGGACTATATAGATGGCGTCCAAAACTTATACACATTTAAAAATCCTATAACCCAACTATAGCGCCAGCTGTCGGTAGAGTTGCAAGTTATGTTGTTTTCTGTTTGTTTTTAATTTTCTGCATAACTTTCTTTTTTTTATATAAGAACCTACAATATATAATTAGAACATTTTAAAAAGATGAATGAAATTGGTAGTCCTTCTCAAGTTATGGGGTGACCAGTGGAATTATGCATTCTCATTTTTTTATTAAAAGATTTTGAAGACTTCTCTTCAAATGTTTTGAAAGCACTTTTGATTTGGTCAATATCTTTAGCCTCTACTCATTAAATAAATCATATGGTTTAAGTGCTTGTTATCATAGTTGTCAATGCATTCACCCACATAGCAAAGGGTGTTAGTTCCGTTCCAAAGTGCCATTAAAATGCTGTATTTTCTTAAAACCTTACTTATATGATCTCGTCTCAATTTCAGGATGGCCAAGAACGAAATTGAACCACCAAAGATGTACCTGCGCTGCCCTGATCGAAGGCTAGACATGTGTGGGAAGACCATCTCACCGTCTGTTTCATTCCTCTGCAATGGTAGCTCTAGGGAACAGTGTAGTTGGAAAGAAATACCTTTCACTATGGTGAGTATTGTCTATATTCTTTAGTGTTAAAAAGCTAAGAAGAGGAAATGATTGTTATGATGAAGTCAATTGTGCTCTCTCTGAAGTCCTTCGTTGGTTTACAGTAAATAATTTAAAACTAAAATATAGTAAAAGTTAATGTGTTAAATAAAACTAGTTTTTTACGTGTTAATGCACGAAACTTTTTGTCGTCGGAATCAATTTTTTATTTAATTTTATTGAGCTACCTTCGAAAGACGAAACGTCAATAAATAAATAAAGTTTCGTGCATTAACCCTTAAAAAACTAGTTTTATTTAATGAGTGATGTGCGTGAAAACCTAAGAAACAAATAATTTAATGTGTTAAGTTTAGACTCCCTAATGTGAGGCAGGTTAATACATACTAGTATAAAAATAAATGACCAGCTTGTAGAGTTAGTGGATACTACAAAGTTTCTGTGTATTACTTTAGACTCGCATCTGCAATGGGCTCCTCATATTGATGCTTTATCAAGTAGATAAATCTCTACAGCTTTTAAAAAAATATGACTCTTAGCTGATGTGGAAACAGCAAGATTGGTTTACTTCGGTTACTTTCATAGAGTTATGACATATGGCCTTTTGTTGTGGGGCTCAGCTGCTAATATCGATAGAATTTTCATACTGTAAAAGAGATCTCTTCGCGCCATGTACAACTTAAAGGCAAAGAAATCTCTTAGAGAGTTAAGAATCGCAATGCATTTATGAAAATATAATATATTTAAGAAAAAACTATGCGGCATTTGCAAAAAAATGTCAAACCCATAACTTTAACAAGAGGTTTAAGAACAAGCTTGCCATTCCATGTTTCAGACTCCTAAAATCAAGAGGATCATTTCTGGGTTGTAGTATTGCATTGTTTAATAAAGTTCCCCAAGATCTGATTGAGCTTCCACTGACCAAATTTAAATCTCAGATCAAGAATACTCTTATGTTTAAGGGCTAAAGTTGATGATTAATCTAAACGTTCTTAATGCATGGACATATTGATTTTTGTAATTTATAATTTAATTGCTATTAGTGATTTCCATAACAGTATCTAAAGCCGCTACCTATATACTAAAAAAAAATTGTAACTATATATCTATATTCTAAATCTCTGAAGTCATTTTTCAACTTGACGACTCTGTATATAATAATACAGGGAGAAAAAAACAGCCCTTGCTGAGTATCTTGCCTTGTTCTTCTCAGTATACGGTCTCTCGCCATAGTTTTGTGAACCGATGTCGTAGTTTCTCGACTTCACAAGTGCTTGTAACAGCCTAGACGGAATTAATGATGTTAAACCAAACCAAACCGAGATATAGATGTATGAAGAGCGCCATCTGCTAACACACCATGTACGTATATGTACGTACCTATTGTAATGAAATATCAGATTACTTTTGTTAAATTTTAACGTTTTTTAAATTATGTTAATATATATTTCTGTAATTATTATTATGAAAGTTCGTTTCACTTCTGACATGCGTACTCTGTACACACGCTGTTTTTTTTATACTGTCAAGTAGCCTATTATTAAATTTAATAATGTTTATGTTACAGATGACTAGCACTCTGGTCTGGGAGGTGCCAATAGGCAATCTGGACCATTACTACGCCGTCGCGTTTGGGACTGTTTTAGCCATCCTCTCTGGGTCCATGTATCTGCTCAAAGCAATACATGCATACAAGATGAGAAAGTTAAAGAGAGCATAAGACTATTTCTTTGTTAGTGTCTACTTAGTAGCCATTTAGGTATTTATTATTTAGGTATTAACTTGTGCAATAAAATGTAATATGAGAAATGGAACCCAAGAATTTTATTTTCCTTTGTATACTTAACTGTAAAATCATTAAAATCACGGCAGAATTGGTCATAACCATAGATAAATTTCTGGTTGAACAATGACCTCAATATACTTCCAAATTTGAATGTAACTGTCAACGGTATTAAAAACCCTAGACACACCACGTGCGCTTATAATGTGTCCCAATCAAGAAGTGCTTGAACACCCCTTAAGCACTTCTTGGTTCACAATCACACGCGGACCGTTGAAAAGTCAAAATGCCGCAGAAATTCGTGAAAAATACGAAAAAACCTTCAGTACGTCGAATGTAGTTATTTCAACAGGTATCTAATCCATGTTTGTTAATTTTTGAAGCATTTGAAGCAAATTTTGTTCTAATACTTACTATAAATTGATTTACAAATACAAATAAATACAAATACAAGTTCTTTATTTCCATGCCTTACTATTACATTATATATAAGTATTAAATATGAATCGAAAAAAGGAGTAGGCACAGCGCAGCTGGTTTTAAGCCTACCTATCGTCAAATTTTGTGGTTAGCTATACAATTTAATGCAATTATAAATAGCCAATTACATGTCAAATATATTAATTACAATGTCAATTCATTTAGATGTCATTCAAAGCTTAGTCAATTCAATGGTGCCAATTCTGGCGTGATTCTCTAAACTTAAATCTAAATTTAACATCAGTCTCTCCTTTTTATTCTGTATAGAGAATAACAAGGATACACTGTTGTCAAATTTAAGTTTAGGTTTAGAGAATCATGTCAGAATTGATACCATTGTCACGTTATATTTAAAATGTCATATTTTTTACTAGTCAATTACAATTTATGTTATTCTTACACACAATAAATGTTAAATATATCAATTACAATGTCATTTTTTTTACTTGTCACTTAATTACAATTATATAATTCTTACACACAATAAATAATAATATACAATCCAAGTAAATTAATTTATTTATTTAATAGAAAATACTTGTGATATTCAAATGATATTTATTTTCCATCACAACAGAGATCGTAGTTATTCTTGTTTGGCAATTAATTGCCTTGCCTATTTGTGATGAACTGGTGCCTGAAATAGGTTTCAGCAATAGAAACCTGGGGGCCAATCGCCTAACGGAAATGCTTTGGAAAACGCTAACGCTTACGTTTTATTTTGTTATTTCTAACCGCCTGAGGTATTCAAATGCCTCGCGCTCTTTCTTTTACTTTTGCTTTGGTAATAACAATATTAAAAAAAAATGAGCGTGAGGTATTCGAAAACCTCAGACGGCTAGAAATAACAATATAAAATCGTAAGCGTTAGCGTTTCCCAAAGCATTTCCGTTAGGCGATTGGCCCCCTGTGCTACAGGTCACCAGGCCCAATCACAGTTAGCATGACTTCCACGATTAGTACAATACCTTCGAACAGTTGAAATCTATACATTGTTGTTACAATTGCAATGAATAAAGGAAAAGAAAATTATAACTATAATTGCTATTTCTTCTTTCAAATGTTTAATAAGGATGATGACGGGGTACAGTAAACGAAATTCTATTTAGTCCGTCAGTTAGATGATCAAAAAATAATGGACGCGTATTTTTTCTTACGGCAATCAACCAAGAAATGACAAAGTTATAGCGCCTCAAAGTTTGGGAGTAGGGGCTCGTGACGTCACTTTTGAGTGAATTTTCTCTTATAAGTGTACTCAAACGTGACGTCATGCGACTTTTTAAATCAATATATCTCTGCAATGTTTATATTATGTGAAAAAAGAAAAAATACGCGTCCAATACTTTTTGATAATCTACCTGATAAACGAAGAAAAAAAAATTAGTCATCATCCCTATTCTTTTAAAAGTATTCATTTGACATTGTGGGTTACCTACAATGCGAAGAAATGGCGCAACCTTGCAGCTTAAGAATGGCTAGAGGAATTTCGACGCGGCCGTCAGGCCTGCGGTAGCATAATTGGTCAGTGCATTCGTCCGGATTGCGAAGGGTGCGGGTTCGAGTCCCGTCTGCTGCCTTCTTTAGATTTAAACATCAAGCAGTTACATGCTTAAAAAAATTAAATTATAACAGAAAAAAAGATATTCTATCTAAAAGGTAGCTAGAAAATTATCCAGTTTCTAATAATAATAACCAAAAGCTGCGTGTATGTAAGTGATAGTGAGTGTTTATGTGTGACTTCGTTAAGTGTATGTAATATGTAGGCAGTGTAATGTATGTGTGTGTATGTGCAGGTGTGTAAATGATCAGTTGCAACAGTAGCAGAGGCGAAGTAAAAATCTCACGTGATAACTACGAATATCATCATATTTGCAGGTTTACCTTAGAGGGCATAATAAGTTTTCAGTAGCATCATTGTCAAGTGTCAACAGATAATCGCAGACGATACGTTTACAGAGTGTTTTATGACGAGAATAAATATGGAGGATGTGATTTATTCTGTTGTAGAGGAATGGGCCTAGAAATTTAAAAAAGTTTGGTGCAACGGAGGTTTTCTGAGTAGGCAAAGGGCAGACTTTAGTTTTGCGTCTCTTATGTTCCAATTTGGGATCATGTGTTAAATGGTTGTGTTTTTGAAGTATGGTTTTCAGAATAAATATTTGTCGTACATAGTGAATGTTCCAGACTTTATATAGCTCTACAGTAGGATAGCGATACGAGAATCCAGCAGCCACTTTAATAATAAATGGTTAAAATAATATCCCGCTCTGCAACACCTCTCAGATTTCTCAAAATATAAATCATAATCTAAAGAAAAGTTTACTAGAAAAAATGTTTAATACTTGAAAAAGTATTCATTTGACATTGTGGGTACCTACAATGCGAAGAGATGGCGCTGCCTTGCAGCTTAAGGCTAGGAAAATTTCGACGCGGCGAATAGGGTCGTGGTAGCATAATGGTCAGTGCATTCGCCCGGATTGCGAAGGGTGTGGGTTCGAGAAAAAAATCCACGTGGACCAGGCAGCGGCCGTCCGCTAGTAAACTTTTCTTTAGATTTAGACATCTAGCAGTTAAATGCTTAAAAATAAATAAAAACATAATATAAATCATCTTTAGAAGCCTTGATGCTAGAAGATCGAGATGGTACTTGAAGGTGAGGGTTTGGTCTAGCAAAAGTCCCTAGATATATTATGCAGTTGTTACTCTCCAAAGAGGGACAAGGACAAGAAATCATAGGAGGCTGCGTGTTACACTTATGGACAGTAATGTTATGTTCTGTTGATGGAAGTTGGTTAGATCTTAAGGCAAAAGTGTCATTTTTAGTCTTGGAGACATTGAGAGTGAGGGCATTACATTTCAGCCACTTTGTTACTGCATTAGGCCTTGTGCTAGTTCAAATGAACTGTCCCAAGAGTTCCCTTGAAAGAAAAGAGCAGTGTCATCAGCAAGAGTAAAAGGTTCTGCCCCCTGAGAGCTGGGGGCCATTCGCCTAACGGAAATGCTTTAGCAGTGTCGGGGCAAGACCTAAATTTGATGTGGGCAAGACAGATTTCGCGAGGCCCTGTTCTGTGGCGACCTGAAGACAGATTTTATAAAATAATAAAAAAAAAGAAATTCGCTTTTAAGCAATGCATAAAAATTTTTGGGGCGCGAGGCCCCTTGTACCGCGAGGCCATAGGCGGTGGCCCACGTCGCCCACGCCTCACGCCGCCTCTGTGCTTTAGAAAACGCTAACGCTTACGATTTTATTTTATTATTTCTAGCTGCCTGAGGTTTTCAAATGCCTCGCGCTCTTTTTTTTCTTTTGCATTGGTAATAACAATATTAAAAAAATGAGCGTGAGGTATTTGAAAACCTTCGGCGGTCAGAAATAACAAAATAAAAAGATCGGTTTAAAATTGACAAAGTTTCATACAAACTTTCATTCCCTATTTTATCCCCTTGGGGGTAGAATTGATCAAAATCCTTTCTTAGCGGCTGCCTACGTTATAACATCTACCTGCATGCCAAAATTCAGTCCAGTGGTTTCGGCTGTGTGTTGATAGATCACTATGTCAGTCAGTCAGTCACCTTTGAGTTTTATACATATATAAGATAGGGTGGTAAAATCAAATCAACTTCATGTGTGGTACGCAAAGGGAGGTCATAGAAAAAAATATCAATTTATCGATGATTTTTTTACCATTGAATAATGTTTTGAGAAGCAAAATGACCGAATTTATGCTAGAAGCTCTGTCGAAAGAATAAAAAGTCAACATTATCCAAATCCAACTTCAGTGATGGTTTGTTGGGATGTTAGCTATCAAGAAATGACTGAGCCATATTCTTGTGAAAACGGTGTCAAAATATCGCAAGAGGACGGCAAAATCTTTTTCTGTCACAGCCTGTAAGGTTTCATTGTACCTATCAGGAGCCCGGTACACAAACATTCGTGTAATACCAAGAGCATGAAGAGTTACAAAAACTAGATTTGGATGCATACCTAACTTTATATATCACAAAAATGCTTTTCTCTTCTTGTTTCCTTTATCTCCCCACTCGTTTTAATGGCAAGCGAATGGAATACTTCTAGAGGCACTCGCCAATTCTCGGCTTGAGGTCCCCTTTGGATCTCGCCGTCCCAAAACCCGGTGACGCTTTATAGGTCATCTGCGACACACTCAATGGACGAACATTCTGCCCCGAAAATTTAGAAAAGCGTATACTCTGATAAAGTTGTGTTCTAATTATCATGAAGTTTAAGAAAAAGAGAACACTTTTTAAGTAGCGCGCAACGGGGACTAATGGCTCAATGGCTGAATTCCATTGGCACTCGTATTCGGGCTAACGACCAATTGTAATCGCGCCATCAAGTCCCCCGAACAAATGTGGCCCAGGACACCGAGATATCGGAGAGGACAAAACAAAATATGTAGGTAATGAGCTCTATTTTATTCAGGGACTCTCGCGTACTTTTCTCCTGTCCGGTCTCCCGGTGTCCTCGAAGGTTCAGTGTACATTTTGTACGCGGTACTTTTAATCCGCCGTGTGCGTTACTCGATGCAGTTTTTTTAAGCTATCTATTCCGATGGACAAAAAAAAGTCCGTGGACAAATATTGTTTTTTATTTATTGTAGGTAACATTTTTATGACCTCACTAAGTACACCGATTAAAGATTTAAGTTGAATTAAAACTGGGTCAAGGTTGATTGGATGGATCATACATAAAATAATTTTAATTGAGACTTTTAATATAATCTGTTAATGT